CTCAACAAGTACAAAGACTGAAATACCCCTTCACTAACACCACTAACAGGGTCAAACATATCTATTTTACTGATAATATTATCTTTATTGTCGTAGTGTTTTAGATCCAAAGATCAATTTCACAGAGCAGGAGCCTATGCCATTTACCTCAAATGGATTTTCAAGGTCTCTGAATGATATTTTGTCACCATATGATATGAAACGACTAGAGGCTTATACCAACAATCTCGCAGATTTTCATATGGTAAGATCAACACTGAGGGTAATGGTTTCTTAATAGATACTAGTAATGCTTTGGTGAATATATCTATATCCATATCTATCTATCTATCTATATATATATTGTTCTCCGCAAAAAGTTAAAATATAATTTGTGCTTCATTTCTCTAAATTTAAAGCTGTATAGATTATTTAAACTTAGAAATATAATCCTTGTGAAATTGTAAGGTGGAAAAAAGAATTATTCATATTGGCTACGATGCATAAGAAGAAAACCTAGAAAGGCCGTTCTTGATAAAAAAAAAGAAAACCTAGAAAGGAAGCAGAATACTGAGTGAGAAATGTCATGTTAGTTTCCAAGCCCAAGTAATGCCTACCTTCAAATTGTCCGTGTTTTTTGATCAATAACTGCAGAAATTTCATTAATATACAAGGTAAAGATAGAAACAGAAAGTACACAATAAAGAAAAAATGCACTCTTTTTGACAACTAACCTGAAAAGGTTATTGATTTACTTTTCAGTTTTCACTGAGGTATTACTTCCTCTATTGCATCTTCCAGAATTTCTTGCCTTCAGAATTTATTTTGTTTGCAATTATGCCACTAAATACCATCTGAAAAAATTAAGTCAACAGTTTGTATGTGTAACCATGAAAAAAATGTGTATCCATTAGGATGTAATACACGCCGGGACATCCTGGACCATGCAAACAACACCTTCCAGCTGAGCCAAGAAATTCAGAAAGCGTTACCTAAGTATCAGTCTCCATCATTGTTTTCCTCTTTCCAATAACAACTTTCCAAGATCCAATATAACTCTTACTATGTTGTATAGTGTATGTATGCACACTGGGTTTTCTCAACTGTAATCTCTGTTATCCAAAATTTCCATGTCTGCAAATCCATGTGTCTCAGACCTTTTTGAATGTTGTGGGATATGCTTAAATGACAAATATGAGCAATTGGCCAGTCTTGCATTCTATTTATTTCTTTGTCATTTTATCAAGAAGGGAGCAATTGCATGATGCAATGCTAAAATTGTGGGCTGACAATGTATGAGAATGTGGCTTCAAGTCTGAGTGCAGTCATATTGTGCATAAAATGCTGGAAGTTAGGTCCATATCCATTCTACCCTCCCAAGACCCTGGATAGCTGGGACCAACATTTGGCACTGGTCTTCTTTTCATTGTATTAAAACAGGGCTATTCAATGTGGTTTACTTTCCCTCTTTTCTGCAAAACCCAAAATTATATTGCCTTGATTTTTGGGTAAGGCTAATACTAACGTTTTCTTACTGTCCTCCCCCTTCTCTGTGCTTGTCATAAGATATGTAATGCTGAAATAAAATGGGAAAGTGCAATAATAAGCTTGCTATGCATTTCTTTGTTTGGGGGGAGGGGTTCACATATTTGCTTGCCCTTTCCCATTTGCAGATTTTATACATGTAGAGTTATGCTGATATTTGTGCGTTTAAGAAATTATTCTGTCATATATTCAAGAAGGTTGGTTAGTCTTGTGAAAAATAAAAGGGAGAGCGAAAATTGCAAATGCAAAACCTTTTGATTTTTCAGTATTTCCTTATCTAACTTGATTTATCTTTTCTAGATTCTAGACCTTGTACCGATCCTTACTTATCAGTATTTCCAAGAGAAGCTTCCAGTTACTTTGTCATATGCTCAGGCTTCTGTTCTACTCTGCATGGGCTTGCAGTGCCAAACTGTCACATATATTGAGGTCTGCAACTATTCTGATCCATTGATATTTACTTTACCATTCTTTGCTAGTAAACTGTATTGACTTGAGTTGCTCCTTAGAGAGTGATGCGTGCTTAATGATTTTGAAAAAGTGAATGAGTGCAGAAAAAGTGTGTGTGTGTGTGTGTGTTCAATTTGAGGGGATGCCAACTTAAGCTAAAGGTGAAATCATGTTATCAACATATTGGATGAGATACTTGTGTTTACATCCGTGCTGTTGATTCTAATAAATGGATGATGTCCACATTTGCATATTAGTGGCAGTGTTGGTATCCATATCTGGACATCTTAGGGTTCCTGATCACTGTGGAATGCATTTCTCTATTATGATTGTATGTAGTTAGTTCCATGAAAACAACTGAAATGACTCAAGACCTTTTCTCCATTTGATTTTACAGGGAGCAATGAAGTTAGAAAGGCAACAAATATTATCACTGTTTATAAAAGTTATGAAAAAGTTCCACAAGTATCTCTTCAGTATTGCATCTGAGGAGATCCATGCAAACCTACCTCGAATAAAAGAAGTAAGGAACAACCATGAAGACTTTTATTATGTTTCTCTAGTTAATACTTTTCTTTCTTTGTTGTTTACCAACTAAGTGATTATGGTCATAAAATCTCTCTTTTCCATTCAACAACTTGGAGATCTGAAGAATAGTTAGTCTGGGTGCTTCCTGCATCATTCTTGCTTTTGTTCCAGCATGCTGTTTCTTTATTCTTTTCCTTGATTTTTGTTTTTTCTAGGTGTCGCCCTGATGTGAATGTCTTCAATATTGTGTTCTTAGTATTTGAAAGCATCTAATTTCATGGAGAAATATCAAAATTTATATACTCTTTACTCTGTGCTGAAACAAGTTTTATGACATTCACATTCTAGTGTTGAGTTATTTTAACTTTTGATTTTAGAAGGTGTTGAGGCAGGCTGAATTAGAACTTTGACTATCCATTAAACTGGTTGAAATCATTTCATGATCTGTGCTCAATGCTCATTTAGAACCACTGTTGCCATATTGAACTAGTTCTTCCTACTACAAGAGTTGTCTTGTACTCTTGTTTGTTTTCCCAAAATCATAAACAATGCCATTTTATTTGTTTTTCCTGAAATCATAGAAGGTGTCAATTTGCTGGGCAGTTCAGGGATTTTGGGCTGGCCCGTCCGAGCCAGTACTGGCTATTTGCCTGCCTTATTTTGTATGTAAATAACACCATAACCTACAACTTGAGTTATTGCATGCTTCCTTATAGCATGATATGTATTTGTGTGCTAAACATATGACTGGAGCAGGTATTGATATGTTTGGCACAACTTGAGTTATTGCATGCTTCCTTATAGCATGATATTTATTTGTGTGCTAAACATATGACTGGAGCAGGTCTTGATATGTTTGGCACAGCTTCTTCTGGGCTTGGCCAAAATTCCATTCTTTCCCTGCTGGACAGGCCGTGAATTGCCACCCCTAAGTTCTATACTTCAGCACTTTATTATCAAAATAAAAAAAAGAAACCTTCTGTACTAAATCCTTGCTCTTAGATGGTGCGTAGGATGGGAATCATACTTATTGTTTTGGGGATAAACACTAAAACCTCTCCACTTTCATCCTTATTCACTATGGAGGTGTTCAAGGAGTTTTTCAGTAGATGATATTTGTCAGACATTGGGGAACAGTAGATGCTGCTGCTTCCATGAGATCTTCTATGCTTCTAGAAATGTAGTGGCCACCTATTCAGGACAGAATCAAGATGAATTTTGATGGCAGTAATCCAGTTACTTCTGGGATTAGGGAGTGTTGAGAGATTGGTCAAGCTGATTCACTAAGTGCAGAAATTCAGCACTGCTACAGAGGTAGATATGAGCAACGAAGTTGAGAATCAGGAAATTGGTGAGTAAGGTGATTCCCAGTTAGTGATAGGTGGCTGATGAGCAACAGCTTTGGTGCATGGACTCGTAGGCAAGCTTCAAAGGAAATTGGATGCATTGCAAGTGAGATTGAGATTTCACTCAGTTGGGTTAAATGATCAACAAATAAATTGGCTGATGCTTCGGTTAAATTCATTGTAAGATTTTAGGCTTGGCTAGTTGTGTCTATCCAGAATTGTGGAATTCAATTGTATCTGTTATATTCTATGATTTAATAAATTTTCTTGTTATTGATAAAAAGGGAGAACATAGATTTTGATAACCTCACCTATAGGCCTTGTTCTTTTTTCGTTGTCACTTACCTGGGTAAATGCACTTATTCGGGAAAGTGTTTCCTGAGAAGCACTTCTTGGATAAGTGCACTTACCAGTGTTCTTTTATTTCCCAGGTAAAGTTATACAATGGCCATTTTATCAATAAAAGTGTCATTATTGAAGGGGCATTGTTGTCCTTTCATGCGTTAACAATTTTCCACACGGACTGGAAAGTTATTTACCCAAGTTTCTGGAGGGTATTACTTACCCAGGTAAATGAGCTGTTCAGTAATTGCTCTTTCCATGGGACCCACTAATACCGGAATGTTGGTTTTTTTTCTTGTCCATGGGGCCCACCATCTTACCCGCCCCCATTTACCCTAAAATGAATGTCCCCATTGTGTTAAGTAGGAACACTATTAGATTTCAAAAAAAAAATGGCATGTGAGATTACATGCGAATGGCGAGCGACATGCTAACATGGAGATGGTTTTTGCATTTCCACATCAGCCAACATGGGAGTTTAACAAGCTGACCTGATAGATTGTGGTATAAAAAGGGAAAATCTCTCTATTTTCTCCCTAGCAAGGTGATTTGCAAGGGAGGTCCCGGGTCTAGGAACCCATTTGAACAAGTTCATCCTTGATGCACAGGTGTTATTGCTTCCTCTATGATGCTTTGTTTACTTTCTACTCTTCATCTGAGCCATGTTGGGTAAAATATGCTTATTTATTTGTATGTGGAACATTGTAGTATACCCTAGACTGAATTCTGGATCAACAACCAATATTATGAGTTCTAATTAATTCCTTTTCAATTTGTAAAATTTTCATCACAGGTTGTGATGGAACCTCACAGTGTATCCGTTGATGATGATCTGAATGATGCAGCAAAACAAGTCAAGGTATGCTTGGTGTTATCTAAACCATTTTCCAGTCTATTGGTATCTTCATCATTCTTTTCTTGTGGAAGTTTCAAACTTACTTGAGATCATATTCTTAGGACAAGATGAAAGCCGAAACAGAGGATTTGTTGAATCCAGAATTTTTGCAGCAGTATGCCATTGTGGACAGAGAAGATGATTTTGAGAATGCTCTGCAAAATGGAGCAGGGAAGATATCTTCAAGTGGTCTCATTAGTGTGAAGTCCAGTAAGAATAAGGTTGGGAAACATGGAAAACTTTCAGAAAATAATAAGGATACCAAAAAAAGAGGAAAGGGTGATGGTGGATTCAAATCGAATAAAAAGAAGAAATCATGAACACCTGTCAGACATTCTGCTGCCCGAAGACAAATGATCCAGAAGTTACGGTTGCATTCATGGCATAACATATAGTATTTTTAGTAAGAACAATTAATGCCAGAGCCAGAGGTAAATACCAAAAAAATGTCGCGAGGGAAACTAGTGGTTGCTGAGGGGCAATGTTTAGGCTATTATTATTAAATTAGTTAACTATAACAGAGCCCAGTTTTGGTGCTAGGGTACTCTGCCATTATGTTTTGCCCCCGTCTTTGTTGATAGTCCACATTCACATCAATGTAATTTTCCTTTTTAATTTATTTGATGTATTAAATCCCCTGTTTTTGTTTTTTTTTTTTTCCAAAAAACTTTGCTACTCAAAAGTCTCAAATGGGTTATATTTTATTATTTTCTACCATGTAACATGTAAAGGTTTAACTCGAGCTAAACTTTTAAGGCTAAATTGTTTAAACCTCCCCTATGGTTTTAGAAATGCATGAACCTTCCCCTGAACTTTGGAATCTCCAAAAACCTCCTTCCACATTTTGGGTAAATTAGACAAGTTGAACCCTTTTATTTGACGTTAAAAACTGATCTGAAAATGGTGATATCATAGTTTTGAACATTTTAAAATGCTTATTTTGCCCATGGATTGTAGTAGAATAACTATTGACATAATCACATAATACCCCCAAAAGCCAATGCTTGGAATTCTGACTACTCGTTTAGCTGAGCATTTCGTTGGCTGCTTTCAATCTTGAAATCGTGGTTCCTCGAGACTTTGAATCGGAATTTGGGATCGGTTATTCCTTCGGACCCCCAACACCAGGAACACAATCTCCAAGCAGGGCAAGAATTGCCGTAAGAATAGGAACCTCAATATGGCCGCCGAGGAGGATGAAGCCAGCCGTAACTTGGAGGGGCATCAGCCATAGATTGTAGTTGAAGCATCCTTAGGTGAAAGTGATATGATTTCATTGTTCTTCAGAGGGTAACTGTAGCCTTCAGTACTTCACCATAGGGAATTCAGGGAAAAATCTATGGTGCATGAATTGCATTGTGAAGCACAAATAGTGACTAGGGAAAAATCTATGGTAATTGTACCATGTGAAATGTAAACTAATGGAAAGTAAACCATGTAATGTATTTAATATGATTGAATCTTAATTTAAAGTGATGCAAATATTTGTTAATGCACTAGTTGGACTCTGCATCCAAAGCTACAAAATCTTTTGTAGTATAATTTGACATGTTCATCAAATTGTCAAGAGGGATTCTTTTTAATTTTGAAAATATTTTAATAAGGTGAATGATTAACTTTAATATTATTTTTTATTATTAGTATATTTATTACTTTGAGCAATATATAATTTTTTGTATTAATACTTGATTATGTGAGTAGCTTTATTAATATTTTATTATTTTAATATGAAAGAAATAAGAGCAAACAATAAATTTTGTTTGGGTCATGGCTGAGTTGGCCCTGCAAGACACGTGGCCGCCCAACTATCGCCCTGCCACGTCAACTTAGCTTGGCCACATTGGCATAGCTTGGCCACGTTGACCTAGCTCGACCACATCGGCATAGCTCGGCCGAGCTATGTTATCACTGTGGTCAGAGCTATGTTATCACTGTGGCCCTCCATCTTATCCTTCCAGCCACGTTAACTACATGTCACATGGATGAACACGACTACGAATAAGGAGGAATAAGGAAGACGACTCCGTTGGGGAACGAGACTCTATTCCGAAAACCTCGGCGGCTAACCTCATCCTGACAACCCCGAAAGTCCAATCTGACTAGGACATGGATCTTCGACTATAAAAAGGTACTTCATGCTCGAGGTAAGGGACCCCTAACTTCTAACACCCATATTGCTACTTAGCTCGGACCAACATCCTTATAGCTCGGCCCGACCATCTACCACCTCCTATTGACTTGAGCATCAGAGTACTTACCCGGGGATAACTCTTCGGGCCTCTGACTTCTTCCTCGATTATAGGTCTTTAAGCGCGGCCTCGTCCTTGTAGCTCGGCCCTGCCCTGCTAGCAAGGAACTATCTGGTTTCTCTTCTCAATTTATGCACCACCTCGGATTGAGTAGCATCAGACTGGCGTCGTCTGTGGGAAACGCACAAGATGCCCAAGAACCAGCCCGGACGATCAACAGGCCGATCACCAATGCAAGAAAAAATCAACAAGATCTTCAAAATGATGCAGAACCTAGGATCCGTGACACCGCCTAGCAAGATTGTCCCCCCTTATGCGCCGACGCGTACGAAGGATGATCCTCATCTTGAGGACCCCAAAGCGCGTCGAGCAGACAAGGGCATACCGCAGTCCAACCAAGAAAGGAAAGATACAACAAGAAGGTCGGCCCTCTCCGCCTGCTCTCATAGCAGGACGCACCAAACCAAGTAGATCCAACCCTAACCTAGTATTCCTCCCTGCCTCCACGCTCAATAGCATCGTGGGAGTAACTAGAAACCCAGTTCCGTGCTCAGTTCACAGCGAGTCAAAAGCATTGGAAGACCTCGACCAGCCTCATACTGGTGTGATAGAGGAAAAACGAGTCCCTCAGGGACTATTTGGCAAGATTCAGCAAGGAAGCACTACAGGTCAGGAACCTGAACCAGTTCGTGGCTGTCACCGCTATTCAACATGGCCTCTGCCCATCCCCATTCAACTTCTCCATCTCCAAGAACCCTCTGCAAACCCTAGTTGGGCTGATGAGTCATGCTCAGATGTATATCAACGTAGAAGAAGCATAGACACAACTATGGGATGAGGAAGAGAGGCCCGACAAGAGGAGAGATACTGAGGAGCGAAAGTTAGAAAGATCAGATCGGCACCATAAGAGGCAAGACCGCCGACCCGACTACAGACCACGAACACCCCTGCCGACTTATCGGAACTTCACGCCACTCAATATGTTGCGGTCTGAAGTCCTGATGCAAATCTGCAACCTTAACTACGTTCGTTGGCCCGAGAAGATGAAAACGCAAAGCAACAAAAGGAACCATGACAAGTATTGTGAGTTCCATAGAGATCATGGCCACGATAGGAAAATTGCTTCGACCCGCGCAACCACCTTGAAGACCTAATCAGGTGCGGATACCTCGGTGGGTTCATCAAGAGTGAGAAGCCGACACAGAAGGAACATCGCACGGAGGATGCTCGACCGCCGCCCCGAGCTCCCCCTACTGGTGTGATCGACGTCATATCAAGTGGAATCACCGCATGAGGGGAGAGTAGCTCAAGGCGCAACAAATATGCGCGACTGTGCGAAATCAACAACCGGGGGCACAAGAAGAAGTGCGGTCAATCTATCACATTCACTGGTGATGACCTCTGGGGGGGTTCAGACCCCACACGACGATGCCTTGGTAATCACAACCGAGATGGCCAACCGCGAGAAAGAGTGCCTCACCCTTTGAAAAGCTCGGCATCAACAAAGAGTGCCTCACCCTCGTCAACACTCCCCTAATGGGATTCTCTGGGGAGTCCCTCCTGCCCACTGGGAGAATAACCCTTCCCCTACTGATTGGAGACGATGACATTACTACGATGACCATAGTGGACTTCATTGTGGTTCGTTGCCCCTCTTCGTACAACGCCATCCTCGATAGGCCGATCCTTAATGCTCTACAAGCTGCGGTCTCCACATTCCATCTCGCCACGAACTTCCCCATCGAATATGGGATAAGGGTAGCACGTGGAGATCAAAGAACTACGCGATGGTGCTACTTGCTCTCCTACCGAGGACCACGCCTGGCCGCAGAAACACTGATGACAAAAGCTTATGACTTAAGGGACGAGGTGAGGACATAGCACGACCAAACTGTTGAAGACCTCATCCAGGTGCTGCTTAACAAAGAAGACCCTAAGAGGACAATCCTGGTCGGTTCTCTCCTAAATGACCGCCTCTGAGAACAACTTGTACAGCTACGGAGGGACCACACCGACGTATTTGCCTGGTTGGTGGCAGATATGCCGGGGATCGACCCTGAAGTCATCACACACCGTTAGAACACTGACCCCCACTACCGACCTATTAAATAGATGAAGAGGAGCTTCGCAACAGAACGGTGGCAAGTGATTGCAGACAAAGTACAAAAGTTACTCGACGCCGACTTCATTCGGGAGGTCAAGTACCCCGACTGGCTAGCCAAAGTGGTAATGGTGAAAAACCCAATGGGAAGTGGAGGATATGTATCGATTTCACTGACCTAAACAAAGCCTGCCCCAAAGACAGTTTTCCTCTACCAAGGATCGACCAACTTGTCGACGCAACGGCAGGCCATGAACTCCTAAGCTTTATGGATGCCTTCTCAGGGTACAATTAGATTCGAATGCATCCTGATGACCAGGAGAAAACAACTTTTATCACTGACCATAGCTTATATTGCTACAAGGTGATGCCCTTCGGCCTCAAGAACGCCTACGCCACTTACCAACTGCTGGTGAATGAGGTGTTCAAAGATCAGCTCGGCCGAAACGTAGAGGCATACGTCGACAACATGCTAGTGAAGAGCAAAAAGGCCGAGCAGCACCTTGCCGACCTAAAGGAAGTCTTCAGTACCCTTAGGAAGTATAAGATGAAGCTGAACTCGACCAAATGTTCTTTCAGGGTCGGCTCGGGTAAATTCCTGGGGTTCATGGTGACACAAAGGGGGATTGAGGCAAATCCAGAGAAGATATAGGCCATCCTCGACATGCAGTCGCCCCGAACCCACAAAGATGCGCAACGACTCACCGATAGAATAGACGCCCTTAGCAGGTTCATGTCCAAATCTACGAACCGGTGTCCGCCCTTCTTCAAAGCCCTCAAACAACTAAAGGACTTCCAATGGACCAAGGATGTGAGTCCTTTCAAGAACTGAAGCGATACCTAAGCTCGCTGCCTCTCCTCACCAAGCCGAGCCAAGGGATAAGCTATTGCTTTACCTCTCGGCCAGGAATGAGATCGTCAGCTCGGTACTGGTCAAGGAGGAAGACCAGGTACAAAGGCCGATCTACTACACCAACAAAGTCCTCGGTGGCACAGAAACCCGGTACTCCAACTTGAAGAAAATGGCTTTGGCTCTGGTCACCTTGGCCAGAAAGCTCAGACCATACTTTCAGGGCCACTAAATTCGAGTGCTCACCGACCAGCCACTTAAACAAGTCCTCCAAAGGCTGGAAGCATCTGGTCACTTGATCAAATGGAGCATGGAGTTGAGTGAGTTTGACATCGAATATGCACCCCGACTTGCGATCAAAGCTCAGTCCCTAGTCGACTTCATTGCCAAATGCACATTCACTATCGAGGATCCTGCCCCACCGTCGCAAGTATGGACCCTGCATGTGGATGGCTCATCCAATCAGCAAGGCAGCGGAGCTAACCTTATTCTCCTCAGCCCAAATGACACCGTGCTA